CCATTCAACGTTATTGAATAACGTTGAATGGTGTTTTCACCTTGTTTTACTGTTCGCAAAAGTTCCTGGGGCCTCCTGGTTAATGGAACGTGTTGTTTCTCCGCCCCCTGCTTAAAGACCTGACCTGTTCCAGGCTCTGAGTCGTTAAGGCATCTGCGCAGCAATTTCTCTCAAAGAAAAGATCAGAAATGGGAAAGAAACAGGCGAGAAGCTCAGTTCCAATTCGCACGTATGGTCAATGTTTTAAATGAAACAATACCTCACATCGCCAAGTATAACTGGACGTTAACCAAGGTACATTCTTTCTTTTTTATAAGAATATACCTTATAAGAATATCGAGGCTGAAATTTGCGAAATTTTAAGGATGTTTTAAAAATAAACCCGAGGCCGAAATTCTGAAAAGATTATAATTTTTTGTGTCGAAAATTTGTAAATACGATATAATTATACGTTTCCTGAACTAAACCGTCTAAAAGTTATTCCTTCCCTAAGGGGAAATGTGCCATATCAGGCATTATTGCCTGCAGTCTGGCTCAAAACTAACTTCAACGCCATCAAAGTCATGATAGAACAGCTAATTTGACGTTTCGTTGGCATATTCCACTTTTTTATATTCATGTAATCTAAGAATATTCACAACAATATTTTCAACCTAAAATCGGCAGAAAAATAAGAATAGTCAGCTTAAGCCGGAAAAACAATATTCTTATGAAAAAAGAGTGTAGCGCTGTATACCATTAGGTTTGTTGGGTGGATAAAGCTAGGAGAGTCATTAGAGAGCCGAAATAAATCTCTCCGGGAAGGGGCTCATTCACTCCAGCGAAACATATTAAGACTTTTCCTCCCTTTCCCTTTTCTGCGTTCTCTTTTACCACGTTCAGGTGTCCAGCCGTTCTAGTCCACCTCTGGACAGAGCGTAGACTTGCCGCAAGTCGACCTTTTCTCAATCCTTGACTTATTTATCTCCCTCGAGCGAAGCGAGAGGGCAATCTTCGAGCGACGAAGTCGCGAGGGCGAGCGTAAGCGACGTCAGTCGCGAGAGGTGGGGAAACCACCAGGCCAGTGAAGAATTATTGGAAAGGACTTTTAGAATGTCTAGACAGAACGAGGCAAGAACTGCATAATGGAAACCGCAAGTCAGACATCTGTTTTTTTATGTATTGTTCAAATGTAACCTTAATTAATTTCATTTTACTTTTCTTTGATGACCAGGTTCAACACCTCCATCACCTCCGGTGCCCGATGACTGTATAATGAAGGACTTCATCACAATTTTTCCGCATCACGTGTGGAAGGGATTGATCATCAAATTGGATCCCCTAGGCAATCAAGGAAGTTACAAAGACCTTGCCAGCGAGTTGGGATTTAACATGGAGAAGATATTGTATTTCCAGTCACGGACAAATCCCTCAGATGCTGTGCTCAGTAGTCGCCCGATTACTATAGAAGAACTCTGTACCAAGCTGGCGGCGATTGGAAGGTCTGACGCAAGGTTACTGATTAAAGAATGGGTCAAGTCGCAAGATTGCAAATGTGCGGCTTGCAGCAATTAACCTTAGGCGTACAAGGGAGGATTCCAACCCCCACCTCTCAGACTTGTTTTGAATTCTGAAAACAGGATTTACTCAGTGCTGCTGAAACTTTAAGTAGCTGTTCATTAAGGGACACGTCCACACTACGCTGAAGGAATTTTAAACCGGAGGTTTCACGCTAAAAACGCATTTAATGTTTTCCGTCCACACTAGGCGGGAGGAATTTAAAGATACAACAATCGCCGGGTCATTTTGGATTTGTGTTTGAGGAAAACCCGGGCAAGGAAATCACGTGTTTGTCGTGACTCCATGGTTTTCGGAAAGCTCCGTTTTCAAAATGTTTTCCGTCCACAAGAAAACGAAAAGCCGGCGTTTTCAAATTCATCCGGTTTGAAGAGCGTTTTCGAAAACTCCGTTTTCGTGACGGATTAGTGTGGACGGCAGGCCTAGCCGGAGACATGAAGCTGCGTTTTCAAATTCCTCAGGCGTAGTGTAGATGGGGCCTAATCCTTCATTAAGTCCGTTTGAAATTGCCAATAACAACCACATTTTCCTTGAGCAGCACTGCGAAATTAGTACATTTCCTGCATTCTATTTTTATTATGGAGCAATTTTTTTTGTCATTTTGGATTTTTGCCTCTTTTTTTTGGATTTCCTGAGGGTGAAATCAAGATGGCCGTATAAAAGACCATTTCCGAGTTGCTCTTTTCCTCCATGTCAAAACGAGTCTTGACGCGAGACCATTGTTATGAAAATGCGTTTCATTTGTAAGTTCATTTTCATGCGAATCAAACTCATTTTCATACAAAAAGTGTTGCACGGGGACTCGTTTTGAAACAGAGGCAAAAGGGTCAAAAGACAACTCGGAAATGGCCTATTGGCGACTCAATGAGAGGATGAGACCTCACGCAAAACACGACGGCAACGGCAGCGAGAACGTCGCTGAACAAAAGACTTAATGAGGAGAACAATGGATCTTCGGGTGCATTTTTAGCTTGCGAGCAGGCTCACCTTTGAGTAAAGCCTGGTTCTCATATCCCGCCGACCTACCTGCGACGTAGTCGCCGGTTGCAACTGAGAATGTTCAGCGATCTGTTCCGGTGGGTCCCCGGCGCATCTGCCATGGATCGCCGACACACTCAAATTTGCGCGAATTGGCGCAATTTCAACCATTTCACCTGTAAATATGGATCGATTCGTCTTACTGGAGTACGTTGCGTCCGCAGATGATGTTCACATAAACTATTTTCATCGCCGACAACCGCCAGCTTGCCTGCGAAGTTGAACTCGGCTCAACTTCGCAGACAAGCCGGCGGTCAATGCCTGGGATAGATTATGATTCGGCAATAAATGTTCACATATGCCGTAACGGTGTCCCAGGCGGTGCCGGTGTCCCAGGTATGTCGGTGGCATATGAGAACCAGGCTTAACCGCGCACTTGCGATGTTCGCAAAGATGGCTTCCGTCACGGAATATTTCAGCTTTGGAAATATACTTCTTGTCATACTGATGGCGTTCATGGCGTACCAGATGATCGAGTTGTACCAGTTCAGAGATATGCCGCCTGGCCCACGATTCACCAATCTCCCGCTGATCGGAAACCTTTTCAGTTTCAACTTTGATGGCGAGATCTTTCAAGATGTAGTTGCAAGGTAGGTTAGTTATCCTTTCAAAATGATAATTGCATGAGCCTTGTGAGCGACCTGTTTATTCGTTCTTCTTTGTAGTCCACTTCGTGATTTGAATTGATGCTTTTAATGTTTCTTTCGAAACTCCAGTTGCTGCGCTACAGTTAATATCAAGATCTATCGGAAGTTCTACTGTTAACGTGATGAATGGTAAATGCGAGACTTTGCCATGAGGCGAGACAAGCGGTTTTGTTTGCGAGCCCGAGACATTTTCACTTATTCAATTACGAACTGAGACTTTAAAGAGTTTAAAATGCGAGCTCGAGACGTTCAGCTCGAAGACGTTCGGATTTCACTTATAAAACTGAATAACAAACAAATCATTGCTTCGAGACTTTCTCAGTCTTGCAAAAAATCGAGACTGCAAGACGACTTTGTGAAAAAAATCGAGACAGCAAGATGTACATAACCGCTCAATAAACGAGATTGCGAGACCCGTGAAGTTGTTAGTGAATATTCAACGATAACAGCAGGGGTGGCGAATGGTCCTTCAAAAAGTATGCAAAATTTTCGTCTGACTAGCAATCACTGATCAAAATGCTCTGCCGCGTGACACTAACAAATGATAGATGCTCAGCAAGATATTGTGTCCTGAGTATCATTATTTGACCTCGCAGACAAATTTCTTGCTTGAAGTGCTCGAAATAGCCATGTTAACTAAGATAACTTAATTAGGATCTTTTCTCTAAATTATAATCACACAACGTGTTGCTAAATTGAACGACGCAACTTGAATATATCAACGACCGTCATCCAAAGTTTTAACTTCAATTTAAAAATTTCATGTTCTGTGATTTCAACATTTGGATAAAATAGTCACACTGCAAAAACGTTTGATGTTATGAAAGTTATTTTCTAAAGTTTAATTTCTTTCTGCAGTCTCATGCCCTCAGGGAATTAAAATATCCTTTTAAAATTTGCAATACCATTGGTCACGGTTTATTAAATTTCATCGTTCAAAGACAGTCTGTCAAATCCAACTCCGATAAAAGATCTCGACGGCCCTATATGCAGGTCCAAACTAATGCGGTTGTAAACGCATACTTTTTGATGCGTTTTCGCCTGTTGTCCACAACAAAACGCCCGGATTAAAACGGTGAATGAAAACCCGTTAGCGGGGAAAGGTGAAATCAAATTAAAACGAAAAGGCTAGTGTGGGCGAAAACATTTTCTTCATTTTGGCATAGGAAAACTGATACGTTTAAAAGCCGCACATCTGGGCCTAAGTTTTTTTGTCTTAACATAATTACAATCTGCAATCTTACGCCGTAAACGACCCGAGTCCCGTTAGACGGGCCTCAATAGAAATAGCGAGTTAAAGTTGAATAATCAAATCAGCCTTTAATAGCGAACCATTTCAGTCAACTCTTTTTATAGGACACCCTACGGACCGTCATTTGGTGTCCTTAATTGCGAGAGTTCGCACTAACGACTCGCGAGGTGTCAGATATGCCGCTATGCTCTTCAAGATTCCCATTTTTTTTTTTT